ACTTCATTTGGACAACTTTAAAGGTGATTTTCTCAGTATTTTGATTTTTTTGCACCCTCAGATTCCAGATTTTCCCAAATATTGTCCTATCCTAACAAACCACACATCAATGGAAAGCGTATTTATTCAGCTTTCAGATGATGTATAAATCTCAATTTCGAGAAATTGACCCTTATGACTGGTTTTGTGGTCCAGGGTCACATATATGGAAATGATTAGGGCGTGTTTTATGCAAATGACTATCACAGGCATGTAGTCTCACATAGAATATGACACATTCATTTACCTTGAATAAAGCTTAGCAAATAATTCATGTGCATTTGTGAATTCCAATCACGGATAAGCAACCACTGTGTGTAAAATTATCAAGCAAAATATTTTACCTGTTAAATTGAAGCAGAAGACATCAAACTCTCTACTGGGGTCTGCACGCCACACGACAACCCCAGTCTTGCCGTTGCCACAGTTCGATTTGACCTGAACTCGGGGAACAACAGCTATTTGCTCATCTACCCACCCGAACCTGAGATTTAAAAAGAAAAATGTTGATCATTTTTTTCATTTACAGTTTAAAGTATTCATTGGTTAATTCCGCATTATACATTGTTTTGACCTGCATGTCTCCAGACCGTGTTTCTGGGCCTCTGCTACTTGTGCTTTGCTTGCAATAGTCACACCTAGATGCTCACAAAGATCTCTGGCTGCTGATGCACTTAAGGCGTATGTGTTTCCTAGGGTAGCTTCAAACACACCGGAGATGGCTCGTTTAGGGTTCACTGTTCATCAGAGGAAGAAAAAAAGAAATAGCACACACACACACACACACACACAGGTACAACATCATCATCTCACTGCCAGGAATTGACTTTGAAAAAATGAGCAAATAATTTCTCTGGAAAGTACATTTTATCAGAGTAATATTGGCTGATATTGTGTCAAGTGCATGACTGTGATGACCATGCTTTGAAATATATGAAACTTGTCAGGAACATTTTGTCCCAATAAATAGAAAATAACCATAAAGTATTTTGTATTTTTTTATATTTTGGGAAAGTAATCCATATATATATAACTTTTTTTTTGCACTGTGACATTTAAATGGCAATTATTGACATTATTTTGATAATTAATTCTCATTAGGTAATGTGGAATCATAAAGATGTATGTTACAATATTTGTTGAATTGTTGGGTTCCCCAATAAAAAGATTTCATCACATAATTAATTCTCATTAGTAAAATCTGAATTTTCTTTCATTACTGAGAAAAAAATATTTAATTGTTTAATGTTATTTATTATTATTATTTTTTAAATATATACTACATAATGGATGCTCACAAAGATCTCTGGCTGCTGATGCACTTAAGGCGTATGTATTTCCGAGGGTAGCTTCAAACACACCGGAGATAGCTCGTTTAGGGTTCACTGTTCATCAGAGGAAGAAAAAAAGAAATAGAATTTAATTAGTTTTTTAGTTTAGTTTTTTTTAGTCACATTTTTAGTACTTATTATTAAGCAGCCAAACATTCTAATTCATCTCTAAAAAGCCATATACATCCACAGATATTAAAGATAAATAAATGCCCATGAGGGACCTACCTTTTACCAACTGGATGTCAAAAGTTAGGCTAGACATGAATAAAGTACTGAAAAGCATCATCATCATCATCATCCTCATCAAGACTCTTGCCATGGCGGTGAAGTCTGCTCTCTCTGAGTCTCTGAGCAAAGTGCGATCGGTGATGTGCGTCTGAGTGCCGAGTAGAGAGGTTATAGGGAGGCTAAACTCCCCAGGGGTGCGGCCTGTGCGTAGAGGGGCGGTTATTGCATAAATGACCCGTACAAAGTGTCATGACCAAGCCGCCGCAGTGGGGAAGAGGAAACAGGAGGTGCGCTGGCATCTCTGATGAGGGACTGTGCTCTTCAGGAGTCTGGTTCAGGCCAAGGCGAGAATGTTTTCACCAGGATAACACCCAGTGATGACTGAAGGCCTGCTGACGCACTGCACCACACAGTCAAAGGTTTCCATCCTTTGTGTCATAGCAAGTATAGTAGAAATGCACTTAAATCTTTATTACAGAAATATGAATTTGCAGGGGAAATGTATTTAAAAGTCATGAAAATGACATTATGCCAACAATCCTGATTATTGTCCTAAAAGTTAAATGAGATAAAAGTCAAAATGTAACATAAAAAGTTGAAAATGAGAAGTCAATTATGACACAAGTCAAAATTATGAGATACTAAGTCATAGTTATGACACTAAAAGATAAAAATATTAAATTCATAAAAAGTTGAAATTGTAAGATAAACTAATTGCTACGGAAGCTTATTTCCCCCCAAAAAAATCATAAATCATAATTATGATTATGGTAAGTCATAATTATGATAAAAAGTAAAAAAAATAAAAATAAAAAACTCCGAAAAAAACTATAATTATAACATAAAAAGATAAACGGATCAATATGTAGGCCCATTTCCACCACACAGGAAAAAATTGCTTTTGTGAAATTATTACATAAAAATTGTCGTCAAATTTATGAGATACTAAGTCTTTATTTTCTACCATGCAATAAATAGGAAATGTACTCTCGAAAAAATCATGTGATTTTCAAACACCTTTATTACAAGGTGAAGTGGCACAACAGTAAACACAAGCACACATGTGCAAATATGAATTCTTTCATGCTAGTTAAAAGTGCTCTTCAAAATAGTGAAGCATTCTGAACTATCAAACTCCCCACACAACCGTCAACTACCAGTCGCAAAATATTGCACTTTAGGATCTACCTTGGAATGTCAATTCAAATAAACAACATAAAGAACCGCAAAGACTTTAAAACATACTGTACCAAATGTTGTATTAAATATTGTACGTAATATTTCAAATATATATTTCACAAAACCTGAGAAGTTTAATCATAAGGTTCGAGTGGTATAATCATATATCAACTGGTTCAGGCCAAGGCGAGAATGTTTTCACCAGGATAACACCCAGTGATGACTGAAGGCCTGCTGACGCACTGCACCACACAGTCAAAGGTTTCCATCCTTTGTGTCATAGCAAGTATAGTAGAAATCCGGAACCTACGGCAGGAAATCCAGAAGCCGGAGAAATGTTCCAAGTTCCTGAAACAATTGATCAGTGGAAGCCAATTTCCCACACGTAACAAAAAAATCATAAAATGTCATAATTATGACAAAATATGAGATAAAATTGAAATTATGACATAAAAAGTCACAATTATGAGATGATCACAAGGGAAGTTCATTTCCACCACATAAGAAAAAAAATCATGCTTTGGTATATCATAATTATGACAAACAATGAGATAAAAAGTATCTCAATTATGACATAAAAAGCCCAAATTATAAAATAAACTGATCATATCACCATCAAAGGCCAATTCCACCACATAAGACATTATACGTCATTATGACAAAATTTGAAATGACAAGATAAAAAGTTTAAATAATGACAAATAGTCGGAAATTATGATGTAAACTCAATACAAACTTTATGGAAACACATTTTCTCCACAAAAAAAACCCCCAAAACAAATAATTAATTCATTAAAAGAAATTATGAGATAAAAATTCAATTATGACATTAAAAAAAAACTAAATTGAGATGCTAAGTCATAATTATGACAGTCAAAATGATAGTCATATTTATGAGATAAAATATCAAATTATAAGATAAAATGTAATACTTGAGATAAAAGTCTCAATTATGAGATATCATAATTGTGAGATCAAAGTAAAAATTATGAGATAAAAGGTCAAGACAAAATCATTAGTTCAAATCGAGTTTTATCTCATAATCTGGACTTTTTTTCATTTGGACTTTTGTTTTATAACTTTGAGTTAGTATCTCATAATTGTAACTTTTTATGTCAGTTATGTTGGGAGAAAGTATACTTGATCATATGTGGCGGAAATAGGCTTTCATATAGATCACGGATAGTATGACTATGAAGAGCAGCTCAAATAATTTGGTTTTGGAAGAAACTGATGAGAAATATTTGAGCTCATTTTGAAATCTCTGACTTCTAACTCTGATACAATGGCAAAGTATGAGATATTGAGATTTTTTTTTATTTTTAGAGATCACATGAAATTAGTGTGGTCTTTTTCTTGACGGAACAATTGAAGAAGCAGGGGACAAGCTAAAGTCTCCATTTAGCAATCCCAGTGCAGTCTAAAGAAAAACAAACACACAATTACAGCCATTGTAGTTCACTTAATGCAGTTCACTTATTATTAACAGTTCACTTATTTGCCGGAATTAAGCGTGTAAGGTTTGTTGTAAATATTAATTTCTGTGTAAATTCTTATTTTTATTGTTGTTACATCAGACATATTCAGATTACATAATTTCTTTAAAATCCTTTGATATTTTCTACCATGCAATAAATAGGAAATGTACTCTCGAAAAAATCATGTGATTTTCAAACACCTTTATTACAAGGTGAAGTGGCACAACAGTAAACACAAGCACACATGTGCAAATATGAATTCTTTCATGCTAGTTAAAAGTGCTCTTCAAAATAGTGAAGCATTCTGAACTATCAAACTCCCCACACAACCGTCAACTACCAGTCGCAAAATATTGCACTTTAGGATCTACCTTGGAATGTCAATTCAAATAAACAACATAAAGAACCGCAAAGACTTTAAAACATACTGTACCAAATGTTGTATTAAATATTGTACGTAATATTTCAAATATATATTTCACAAAACCTGAGAAGTTTAATCATAAGGTTCGAGTGGTATAATCATATATCAAACGTGACAGTCTTAGAAAACGTTTCTCTGCAATAACAAGAAATCCCAACTTTCCCAGCCCCAAGTATTATAACTTTATCAATTTAGTTTACAAAGCAAATCTGATTTCTCATCTAAGCACACTTGGTCCCTAAACAATAACAAGTAGTTCTGCTATTTTCTAAATGCAGTGTGAAAGACTGGTAGAAACAATATGAGCTGTGTTAATCTGTCTCGACGTGATGGATGTGAATAAAGTCATTCTGGGGCAGGGGTCTTTGACCCTACATTCAGTCCGAAAAACGTCTTCTTGCCTGGGACGGCGGACTTCTCTGCAGACGTGTCTCCGCTCTCACTGTAGCGGTTACTGAAGAAGCTTATGACATTGACAAGAATGAATGAAGCAAAAAACAGAGTGAGGACGATCCAAAGCACTCGATTTCGCCGGAAGAATTTTGGGAATATCCGGTCAAGGACCTCTAATGCCTCCTCAAACCTGCTGCAAGGACAAAGACATGACTACTGATTCATTGACAATAATTTGACAGGCAGACACTTTGAAGTCAGTTACCTATTAGTCTTCCTGTCTTTATCAGTATTTCCTCTTGCTTCCTCCTCAGAGTCCTTCTGCTTCTCTTCTGCCTTCTCTTCCTCCTCCTTCAGCTCCTGAAGTTCTTTAGACCTCTTAAGTCCTTCTTGGAATCTACAGTGAAGTTAATTTCTGTTAACTTCATTAATTCGTTAATTTCTATTAATATACAGTAGAAGCTGAATTTGTTTTCTAAAATCTTTTATAAAGCTTAAAAATATATTGCATAAAATCATTTTCAAGAATGTCTATTCACATTTTTACAAAATCTTAAAATGAAACATTACTTTGAATATCAACCATTTAGCCAACTGCCGTGTCCTCATTATTATTATTATCTTATTATAACTAAATTTAATCCAATTTAAAAGTTCATGCTTTTGTTGTCAACATTGAGTTTTGTTTTTGTCGAAAATGCAGACTTTTTCTGTTCAACCCTGTTATATTTCAACCTTTAAAAAGATGAATCACATTTAAAAGAATTTAAAACATTTTAAGTACACTTGAAGAGTTACATTTCTCAATTTTAATTATGAAAAGACTTTTTCAAAAGTAAATTAATACTTTTATTAACCAAGGACACATTCAATTGATCAAAAGTAATAATAAAGACACAATACTAGAAAAGATTACTGTTTCAAATAAATGCTGTATTTTTTGAATTTTGAAAAAAGAAAATGACATTTCTACAAAAAAAAAAAATATTACAGCACAACTTTCAACATTGATACGTTTCTTGCGCAGCAAATCAGCACATTAGATTATTTATTTGACGGAAAGAGTGAATGTTAAAATATATTGAAACAAAACACTTCTTTTAAACTGTACGAATGTTTTAAAATATTACTGTTTTACAGTATTTTTGATCAAATAAATGCAGCCTTGGTGAGCATGAGAGACTCAAAAACATTTAAGTACAGAAAAATCTTAAATTGTGTGTGAAGAGTGTCAAGAAAAGAGCTATATAAATGTAACAAATTATTACCGACACTGAACTTTTGAACGGTATTGTATATTGACCTCATTAAGCTCAATAGTTCAACACTGTTTGAATATTGGGGAAATCCCAATCTCTTCATGACATTTATTTTTAAATGTTGGTAACACTTTAGATTAGGAAACAATAGGGCCTTTTGCACCGCTTTAGTTCCAGAACTAAATGTACAGTACTAAAGTACTGGGACGATTTTGCGCGAACTATTTCCCAGTACTATTTAAAGGGTTGCATTCGCACCGACAGTGTGTACTAAGAAGTGACGTAAGCCGGTCGACAGCGTCGTCATTTGCGCGCGGCGTTCAACAACAGAAACAAAGAAGAACAACATTAACAACAGGAGGAACATATTTTAGATCCCTTAATGTAGGGTGGGTACCGTTCACATTTTAACCGGTACGGTACCTGAATTTCGGTACCGGTACCCAACGGTACCTTTTTCCGGTACTTTACTCTCTGTGTAATTACAAAAACATTTATTTCAGTGGAAAAAATAAGTCCAAAAGTCTCAATTTCAACATTTTGAACAATAGGGCCCTACAAACAGTTTTCTCAAATGAAACGGTAAAATTCTCACGAAGTGACTCTCACAGCAGCTCTGGGGATTAAAGGGGGGCGTACAATGCTGTTTCATGCATTCAGAGTTGTTTACACTGTTAAAGAGTTGGATTCTCATGCTAAGCATGGACAAAGTAAAAAAAACTAAAACAATTTGGACGTATTAAATTACAAATATTCAGTCTATTGTAAATGTGTTCATGCCGTCATATGGTGAGACGCAGAGGCCGGAAATCACCGCGAGCGTCACGCGTGCTATTGCAGGGGTGACCTCAGGTCACAGGGTCTCTCTTTCTCTCTCTGTAGAGTATGCGCCCAGATGCATTCTCAGGTACCGAAATTTGGCACCGATTGATTTAACGTGAATCGGTACTCGGTAGTACCAACGCAATTCGGTCGGTACCCTTAAAGTACAGAGTTCGGTACCCAACCCTACCCTATATGTAATCCCGAATCTAAAGTGTTTAGGATGAGGGTATATGGTTTTAAAATCACCCTTTGGAAAACCCATATTTGTTGACAACTAATCTGAATATTGTGCAGAAAGCATTTTACTACGGTGGTCACCAATGTTTCCCAAGGATTGTTACCTTGGTTTTTAAAAGAGGTGATAAAAAAATGGCAATTTCCTGAGAATGTTTTTGCAATTATGCAACTTGCGTGATATAACTAGTCATCTGAACAGACTTAAACGTTTGTTGTTTGATGTGTGCGGTCACACAGATTCATTTAAGCATTCATTAGTGCCAAGGGTGTTACCCTTTGTTATACGCTGCTTCTTCAATCTTGGCTTTGATCTCTTCTGTAATCTTCTCTGGACTGCAGACAACTTTGGTTGGCACTGCTTCACTTTCCTGCTCCGTCAGAGGGTTTCCACTGCTTTGTTTCACATAGGAAAGAAGAGACAGGGATGGAGCAATAAAAAAAATTGCCATTACGCAGATATGTGCGAACTACAGAATTGGCTCTCTCTGTTCATAACCACGAGTGATAACAATAATAACCTCTGCCCAATTGGAGAGACTTAAATGCCACAGAAAGGAACATGGCACACATGCCACTGCAGCTCTGACAGAAGTGAGACATGAGATGTTTAAACAGGTCCTTTGGGAGGTCTTTAAACATCACTCGCTTTAGAATAGCACACACATTACTAGATTGTTATTGTCTGTCTGTCTTTGAGTTAAAACTCGGTATTTAGATTTGACAGTACGGTGACAATCTCTTTGCCTTTTCTTGCTAAAACAGTACGGTCAGACACTGATGACTGGTTTTTGTCAAACCTTCCTGTCCAAATGTTTAGATTTAATCACAAAATAGGATGTAATATTGACTGCAGATGGGATTCTTGTGCTATTTTAAGCACACAGAAAAAACAAGAAGGTTGTTTAAGTTATAATCATCCGAAAAGGCCATGCGTCTTGGTGTACTCTCTTAAAAATAAAGGTACTTTATTGGCATCTGTGGTTCCATGAAGAACCTTTAATAACATCCATGCAACCTTTCCACTGCACAAATGTTTCTTTATAGTGGAAAAAAGTTTCTATATATTGCACAGCCCTGTATCTTAAAGAGGTCATATGATGTTGCTAAAAAGAACATTATTTTGTGTATTTGGTGTAATGAAATGTGTTTATGCGGTTTAAGGTTCAAAAAACACATTATTTTCCACATACTGTAAACCTCTCAATAGATTTTCAGACCATATTTAACATAAATGGTTCATAGTGCTTTATTTTCAGCTTTTTTATTTGGTATACAGTACAGTCATCTATAAATATTTTTATTTTCACAGGGTTTTTCATTGATTTTCTTCAAGTGACAACATACAGTTCCCCTAAAATAAAAAATTATTAAAAATACATAAAAAAATAAAGACTTTTACATGCACACAAGAAACTTTTTTTGTGCCCTCGAGAAACTATTCACATACGCATGGGAATTTTTTGCATGCTTACACATTACAATTTCTAGTTTTATATAACCTATTTCTTTTGTGCATCACTGCCATGTGAATAAAACAAGAGCATGGATGCACATGAATTAATAGAGATCTACTTGCTCAAAATTTGGCTTTTCTTATGGTAGTACCTGTAATATCCTAATGTCCAATTTAACACATCCTCTGTGGCGGCGCAGAAACCATGACACAAAATGGGCTGATGGCATAAAATTTGCCAAGTTCAATGGTCTCTAAAAAGAGTGGCACTGTAAAAAGGTGTTTGAAATTTGGCTTTCATTAGGGCAGTATGCCATATTTCAAGGTCCTAGGTCTCTTTAACGCATATTCTGTGGAGGCCAAGAAACCACCCAACAAAATGGGCTGATGGCACAATAGGTGGCTCAGTGTGCATTGTCCTATATGTTAAGTTTAATGGTTCCTTGTGCACACATAAAAGTCTGTATATTTTTCATTTTTGAAAAGGTCCTTGAGGCTATGTAATACGGTGCTAAGAATAAAGTGAGAAGAAACACAAAATGCTTATAACCTGCATTTTGCATAATGAAAAAGTGCATTCATTCAGTCGCATTTGACAATCACTAAACAGCTGCCATGAAACCTAACTTCTTGTATGATAAATTTATTTTCATTAAATTCTTCATTTTCTATCATAAAAATCTAAATAGGGGCAAAAGTCTGGAAACACAAATATTTTTCCATACTCTGCTTTCTTTTTTCCATACTTTTCCAAACCCCATAGGAACCCTAGTATTTAGATGTGCTTCTTATCTGCCACGTAAACATGCAACATTCTCCAGACGCATATCTTTTGATAAGGCTCAAATTGATCCATTGTTTTAAGGAAACTGAGGATGTCAAAGAACGAATTTCCAAGCATTATTTGATGAATGTGTGCTCATGTACACAGTCTATGAGGAATGTGGCGGCACAGAATCGAGAAAGGCAATTACTTACGATTTGTCAGGCACATCTTGTTGTGTAGGGTCTGAGGAACTGCTGTTCTTAATGGTGTTCGCCTCACACTAAAAACAACAGTAGAATACACTCAGTAAAAAAATCCTCAAGGTCTCATTCTGATGAATGGCTTTGGCCTCAAATGGTCACCTTGATAAAATGTAGGAATGTAGGAAACTTAAAGATAAAGCATCATTAATTACATGAGGCTGCTGACAGGCTACAACATAACAGCTGACGAGGCAGTGCGCGTGAGATAGGACTCACCACCACAGGAAGTGCACCGGGTGCAAAATTAGGGCCAGCGGCGGCTGGCGTCTGCCCGGGGATGTTCAGTAGATTAAACTTGGGAACTACAGCCACACTGACTCTTCGTCTGGGCAAAGCCTTAGAGAGAGAGAAAAAAAAACACTCTCTCTGAAACTAAACTAATTTTATCTGTAGGTAGGCACATTCTCTGCCTCTCTGATCTGTGTTATGGATGTTATTGGTACAATATTACAAAAGACAGGATTTGAAATGGCTGTTTGAAGCACCTTAGGTTCAGCAATCATATATTCACAGTAATAACCATATTTTGCCAATACAGGGTTCTGCATCTGGCTATATGATTCTCTGGGGATTAAAATGGTTTTCGATGTTACATTTTTAAAAGGTTCTTTATGTTACAGGTTCTTCAGATTGGTGTATCTGTTTACAGAGGAAAAGTGAATCCAAACAAGTTTTTTTGTATCAATATTAGATGTTTTCTTAAGAACCATAGAAGTAAAGAATCCAAAATTTGTTGCTTTTAGTCCATGTTTGAGGTGTCGGGTTATTTTTAATCCTTTAGCCACAGACTTTTGCCTACCTTTCCCGTGTCCACTGATCCTGCATAGCAGCGGCTGGAGTTCTGGCTGGCAAGCTTCTTAAACTCCATCAGCTCAGCATGATCCTTCTCATACGTCCTCTTCAGATTCTCCACGTACTGCATCATCACCTCAGTGGCCTTGTTCATTCTCTTCTCCTGCCAAGGACAAAGCAAGGGTTACAAATTATCATATGTACAATCCACAGTGTACTCTTAATCTCTAGGACACTGGGTTTTTTGGGTCTCACTAACAGTAGCATTCAGGACATCATGGAATTATCATGCACAATGTAATTTATCCAATTAGCACATGTCCTGGATCAACATCCTTCAAAGAACAATGACATCTAAACCTGCTGTAACTATTCATAACGTACCCTGTATAATCTGAGGGAAATAACCAAAACTCAAGCCTATTCCTAAAATCTGACCGGTTTAGAAGCAGCACAATAGCCGGGTTTCCATCCAAATTTGCGGATTTAACGTGTTCAGAATTGGAATATCGCATAAAACATTTGCAAATACGCACCGTTTCCATCCAATGAGTCAAAGAGAACAAAATCGTCACTTCCTGATAATCTGGCACTATAAAAGTAGGAGAAGCCACTGAATATAATAATTTTCATATACAATAAATTACTTGCACCTCAGACGAAACACAGAAAATGCGGTCATTGTATTCGGAGGCGGATGCCTGCTGTTTGGGAACGCAGTCGTGTAGGACAGTTCTGGGAGGCAATTATACAGAAATACTTTGATGACAGACTTTGCTCGGGCATTTCAGAATGACCATAACAACATTTCAGATGCTGTGGAGCGAGATCGTACTGCTGGTTCATGCCATCCCATAATGCAAAGTCACATGATTTTTTTTGATGCGCATGGAGGAATTTAATCGGCAAATGCGTTTCCATCTCTCATTATTCGCATCAACCCTTTTTCGCACAAGTCAAAAACCAACTCAAGCGAGCGTAAAATTATTTTTTTTTTATTCGAAATTTTGTCATCATTTGTTTCTGATGCGATACTTCAAAATGCGCATAAGAACAGGGTGATGGAAACAGCTAATATTGGATTGGATTCTCTCATGAATTGTATTTGTGACGTGAAGTTTGCCCAGTAGATTAAGTAAGTAAGTGGTCACAAGCTATTGTAGGATTTCTGCTTACCACTTGTGTATTCAGTCTATTAACAATGTTACCAGTTGGCTTCTGTTTGGTCTCAAAGTCATAATTTTACATGGCCTAGATTTAATAAAAAATGCTTTCTTCAAACTGTGGCCAAACAAGATGATATTCTTCAAATAAAATGATTTATCCCCCCAAAAATGCCATATTAGCTGCTACGTTTCTGGTTAATGTTATTTTTGGAGCCGCAAGGCTTTTTTTAAATGACGTTAAGTCAATTATCAGTCAAACATTTAATCAATGTCACACACTCAGACACTTTAGGCCAACAGGACTGGCAGGTTACTAAACTTGCATCTACTATGCAAAGGTAGACTTAAACTTAGGGCTGCACAATTAATCGAAATTCTAATCGCGATTACAATTATGGATGCCACAATTACGGTTTTTCCACTGTTTTAATTTAAATTTTAGTATAACACTAAAATACCATTCATATTTTTACTTTTTTTATAATTTAAAGAAGAAACCAATCCGATCTGCATTTGTTGTTAAAAGAAACATGATGAGTTTTCAGGATATTAATAAGATGATCATTCTAAGGCAGCAACAACAACCAAGAAATATTTGTATCACCAGTCATTATTAAATTATGGGATGCAAGAGCAAGGCATGGTAAACTGAGGTAATGATACAGTACTTGCAGTGAACTCATGCAGGGCCTATTATTAATAGTGTCGCCACTTGCTACAGATGTACCGCTGAGTCCTTCTCCATTCACTTGGTTTACTTTGGCTTAAGGGCAGGCATGACACTTAGCTAAATCTATCACAAACATATCTTATCTGCTGGAAAATAAACATTCCCAACTAGTGGCCCCTCTACAGCACCAAGACAAGGGACAGTTTTCCCATGAAAACACGAAGAGCACATCAAATGGGGGGCTGAGAGAGACCTGCAGTCACATTAACAAGAAGGTCCTCTGTCAATAGCACTGAGATGTATGAAGCATCTCCCACAGAAGTCACCTTCAAAGCAAGCAGCTCTCTGTTGTCAGCGCAGTGAATTCGCATCACAAACCTGAAGATGAGTGTTCAATCTGCATGGAAAGATTCTTCGCCCTCACATGAAAAAAAACAAACACAATTGCGCAGATCCAGAAACGACTGGATTTTAGCCTCTAAATTTCAGCGAGCAACAGCAAAGTTGAGGCCAGCCGCCAAGGTTGTAACGTTGCAGACCAGAGTAAGTTTTGAAAAGATGTCAATGGAGAAGAGGCTTTACTAATAAACTGCTTTTGTGGGAAAACAGCTTACCATGAAATGAATCGACAGTGGTTAATCTAAACATGTTTGCCATTAAACCTCTTGAACTGATCTATTTTTAAGATCAGTTCTTTAAGTTTTATAAGTAGGATTCAGTTCACGGCACTTCTCATTCATTTCCCATGCATTAAGTGACATCTGTGTGTTTCAGAATCTGTTAATTGTACTAGAGTTTCTGTTGAATTTAATGGGGGAAAATTATACTGTTTACACAGTGGACGCTTTGGCCTTGTGTGTGTATTAAAGATTCCAGTTTGGATAGAAGAGAATAGACTGTGTTTACAAAAGTAATTAAATTGACACTGCATCTTAACTTTGGGAATATTTGATGATTAGGGATGCACCGAAATGAAAAATTCTTGGCCGAAGCCGAAACCGAACAAAATGAAACACTGGGCCGAAGGCCGAATACGGTTTTTCGAGTTTTTTCCCCATGTATTTTGTCAATTTTTTTCACTATTGCATAAATTAAATAGCCAAAATGTGCTTTTTACAGTTTTGTCTTGCTTTTCAAAGAAAAAATCAATTACAAAACAACAATTTAAAAATATTTAACACTGAACATTTTTTAACATTCTAGCAGACACTATACCAACAAAGCACAATTTAACTTAAAATTAAAAAGTTAGTAAAATAATATTTTTTGCCCATCAGACCCCCTTCTTGAATCAGGCATGTATTTTTTACTGTACAAATAAAAGCAGCCTTGCTGAGCAGAAGAGACTTATTTTAAAACATTAGAAAATATTACAGATCCCAATTTGAACACTATGCGTGAATGTTATAATAAATGTATTAACAGAGCTGTTGTAATTATTATCATTATTATTGTCTTACTTTTTATTTTATTTTACAGGACAACAGTAAAATTACAATACTAACATTTATGAATGCTGGAGTTCTTCCTTTTCCTCAACTTTTATTTTGGCGGAAACGCGCGTGCAGGAAGACCTCAATGCTTCTTTTTGTTGACAACAGCAGATTTATAAATGAGTCTCATTATGAATATGTCGCACGTATCGCATCGTCACATGCCTTGTAAAAATTCATAACAATGTGACTGAGCAACTGACGACTGTTTCAGCGCAGATTTTCCCCTGGATTGAACCCTGGTTAACAAGCAGATCCGCCGCGAGTTCGTGCAGCGCTGTCAGAATAGGCTACATGCAATTTGTGCATGTATTAGAAAACATGACGTTCTGCAGTTTATTTAATTGTTTAAGGCCATTTCGCGATTTCAATCATCATACAGTAACCAGCAACAATCACCCCTTCCTCTTCTCATCGAAGACATGCGATGCAGAACTAAACGGTCTCTCGATGTCGGTGCTTGTAATGATTTTTGCGTCTTTCTCGGACAGTTTAAATGCTTCCACACTGCTGACATGTTTGTTGCATAATAAAGAGTGCACGCCTCTCACTCTACGCTGGTTGCTATTTGATCGCGTTACGTCATTCGGTACAATTGATTCGGTCTTTTCGCTTATTCGCTTAATTTCGGTTGCCGAACATTCGGTGCATCCCTATTGATGATTATATTGTATGTGTGCTGAAACAAAAACATACATTAAACACTCACTATATCCAGAGGTGTAAAGTATTGGAGTAAATGTAATTAGTTACTGTACTTGAGTATATTTTTGAATACTTTGTAGTTGTACTGAGTATCAAAGATATTAGCAACTTTTACTCTTTTCTTCACTACATTTTTTAATGAGTATCTGTACTCTTTACTCCACTACATTTGAAATGAGTGTTGCAGTTACACATTACATTTTGCATGGACCTAGCTTTTTCTGCAGCAATTTATTTCTGCTACAAAAGACGTGATACTGCCTATTACAGGTCACTGAAAGTACTGCATCTTGTGCGTTTTGCCCTTACTCACCCAAACTTGTCAACAAGGCTACTTTATGTGAATGCGAGTTCCTTAGCAAGTATTTGTGAATCACAGGTGTTTTATATATGAGATGAGGACATGACTGCAGCCGGCAATGAGGCACAAACCAGCACAGCCAGTGTAAGAAGGCTTCGGCTTTTTAATTTTACTTAAAGGGGTCATATGATGCGATTTCAATTTTTCCTTTCTCTTTGGAGTGTTACAAGCTCTTGTTAAAATCAGATACTCTAAGACTTTTACTCAAGTTGTTTTGGAATTGGTGACTTGTAACGTTTAGTGGAGTAATTTTCACTGTAAGGTATCTGTACTTTTACTCAAGTATGGTTTTTAGGTACTCTTTACACCTCTGACTATATCACGCTATACTCGCACCCAAAAGCAGAGGCATTGAGCAGCACTGCGTTTTTTTGTGCTGCAGTGTAAATACACTGTCATTGGTGTTAACTAAATTTTTCCTGAAATCCAGTAATTTCAATAGAAATCTGCATGATCAGGAGATTCGTGTGACAGCGAGATTTCCCCATGCAGATTTTGCATCAGGTTCATTTGGTCATGCAAATTCACCACTTTGACAGGAAGCAGACTTCTGTGTGAGCTGTGCTTCATACATTGCAACACTATTGACAAAAGACAACTAAGCATTTTTTGCCTGTGAAATTTCCCTGAAATTTTGTTAATGTGGCCACACATTTAATGGTTGACGGGATGCAGCTATGATGAGCATCTCACCTGTCTCACAGCTCCCACCATTTCAGCCCGGCTGGAGAGGCGGCTGCTCAGGCGGTGCAATACGGCGATCGTTTCGAAGAGGTGCTGGTAAAACTCCCGCTGCTCCATGTTCTGCCACAGTGACACAGTGTTCTGAAATGGGACGCCAACAACAATTAGTTACATTCCAGTTATTCCCAACATGTGTGTTTTTGTGGGCTGTTTACATTCGGGTCTGACCTTGAGAGTGCTTTTAAACTCTTCCAGTTCCTTCTCCGTGTTTTCCTCAGTCAGATTGCGCTCCCTTTCCGCCTGTTTCAGCCGCGACTCCAGCGTGTAATTGTCGTTGCGGAATGCCAGCGAAAGCTGCACAAAAGCGTTCTGCAGGGAAAAACAGCAACACGGCCATTAAAAGACAAGATGCATCAATTCACTGTGAAAGTATTTGTCAGTGTGAAAACATTTGTCATCTGTGAATCCATCAGATTTCACCAGTTTAAAATCATTAAGCCTCAGGCACAGTGGAAAATACACATGCAAAAATCATATGGAAAAGTAATTACTTTACATAACTCTCATTCTCAGGACAGTGCTATGCCAGATACAATTATTAAATTTAGTCACATTATTTCATTTGACTGTTTAGTCTGTAATGCAAAATATATTTTTTAACACAATATTAATTTTTAAAGCTATTTATAGAGTAAAAATAATCCAAAATGAAAATGATACTGAATACTTAATACGCCCTTGCTGAATAAAAGATTACATTTCTTTCTTTCAAAACAAATCTTACAGAACCTACACTTTTGAAAAGTAGTATTCATTTGATTTGTTGTTTGTAGGTTTTAATACATTAACTTCTACATGACAGATAAATAACTTGACTTGACATGAACTCTGGATCTAACCAGAGAAAGACGGAGGAAAGCAGCCATTTCATGGGAACTTTACTGTCAGGATCAAAGAGTGCAGCGGCAGTACAGCCAGTATTGTCTGAATATTAGAGAGGAAAATACGTCCAGCCCTCGACCCTCACTAGCGTCATCCTGGGAGCAGACTGTATTCACAAAGGCATGTTTGTTTCCTCACAGGGGACAGGAACTCACTAAAACCCATCAAACTGCCATGTCCTAAGCCAGGCTCAACAGCACAGACAGCCATGGCCTTCACGGACACATCAAAACAGCCTTATTCTGGAAAACACTGTATTAAACTAGTGCAGCTGTGATGCAATTATGATCAGGGGCGTGTCTAGAGCATTTTAAATGGAGGGGGCCAGTCGGGGGCACTGGCTCAAAAGAGGGTGGCCGATGGTGTATGTTATAATACATCGTGTACACTCACTAAACAAAGAGTGACAGAGACCGAGACAGTGACAGTGACAGAGCAGAGCCAATTCATAAAAGAACAATATTTAAAATCCCCTGATTATGATAACCTACTGATTCAGGGGCCCTCGGACTGTATTTTCTTAATTATATACGGGACCAAAAGTAACAAGGACCAAATACAAGTGAAATTGCTGAATAATACACTCATTGTCATAAATACAATTGTATTAAGCACACAATTTCAACTGTTATGAAGCAAAACAAAACAAAAAAGAAAGATCTTGGGATAAAGCACAAGAATGAATGAATGAACACATAAAGCCATTTACATTTTTGTCTTTAAAACAAAAGCATTATTTAGTTTTTATTTTAATCTTTATTTATTAAAATGAAACTTAAGAATATACACACACCTCAACTTCCTTCTCTGAGAGCGGGGGTGCGCTGCAACAAAAAAGAGAGGAGTTGTAAGGACTTTTTGAGGGGTATTAATAGTAAGGAATTGATCAATCTATGATCAAATGATGGTTTTGTGAACACACCATCCAGGTAAACCTCTGTGCAGTTTGAGTTTGCGTAGCATGACGTCTGAAATGTTGGGCATAGCGTCAGGTTTCTCTTTGGCCTCCTCTTCACTGGGAGAGCTGGTGAGCGGAGAGGATGGACCTGAGAGATAAACCGATTACTAAGGTTTAACACAGCACATTTAAGAGAACTGTAAAAGAAAATCATTACGAGCACTATGTGCTAATCGTGACACATATGGCGCCACCTAGCGGTGTAAGAATATAGTTACATTGCATATGTATTTCACACAATGTAACTCAGTGTAAAAACAAATAGATAACACATTAAAACAGAAGTCTATGAAAATTGAATCCCATAAAATATGGGTGTGGAAACCTGAAAGGTGGAAAGCCTCACATATCTGCTCCATGTTCTACTGTTGTATTGCTAACTTGCACTGTTATTATATGACTTATATTATGTAGTCCCTTTGAATTTTTTAAGCTTTTTGTGCATAAGATATGTTGTTACAGACAATTTTAATGTACACTGTTAGCTGTGAGAGTAAGTGTTCATTAAATCAAATTAAAACAACAGGCAAACACATTAAATGTTAAAATATACGTCATAATACTTTACATATATCATACTGTACATGTTCATGTGAGACTATGAAAAAAAAAAAGACTTTCTGATTTTGTCTGTGTAAAGTTGTAAACACATTTTTCAAATAAACCCAGCAACTTCTGCATGATACATGTGAGATGTCAGAAAGGGACATTATAAAACGAAGAGTTCCGGTCCTTGATTCTGATTGGTTGAGCCGTGTTCGAAGCTGTTGTAAATTACTCTACAAACAAACACCTTTGTTTACTTTGTGTGTTGCTCGGCAACCACTTTGTTGCAACCACAACTGTTTCTGAGGAACTACATTGTTTGGTGGAAGAATACTGTTTTTATTAATATCATTACACTTTATTTGCTGTTTTATTTTGTGAAACCTAACTACGTATATGGAATAACCGTTTTATAAAAGCAATAAGCAATACTCCGCTTCGCGTCATGCCTAACAACGCCCCTTAGCTGTTATAAATTCACTGTAAACCACGGCTTCTTGGGGCTTATTGCTTTTTACACATGATTTATGTCAGTAACATGCAACCAGAAATTAATCTGAAAACAGCTCAAATAACAACAATATCAAGGTTTTAATTAAAAAAAATCTTGCTTTGATTCTTTTTAAAAACTGAGAGACGAATCAAAATTAGTTGTAACAGACACAGTGCCACAGATGCTGCCAGTTGAACTTGAGCAGAGGCAGTGTTGATTTATTTTTTTCATTTTGATTTTAGTCAACATTTTAAGCCTCGTTCAGACTGTCAGCCCAAATCCGATTTTGTGCATATCCGGATGGAATCTGATTTGAACAACTGACTGTCCACACAGTGTATCGTAACTGTTCATATCCGATTTGTGTGTCCATAAGCGCTCTTTCGTTTTACTGAATGTGCGTTGGTTACTATGGCAATGCCGTTGCGTTGTTATTCCTACGTTAAAAACAACAATAACAGCAATACAGTTTGCAATACAGATATTGTCTTACAACATGACAGCATGTTGCCGTCGCGCTGGATTATTATTATTATGGATTTCGTCTTATGAGGCAGCATCAGAAACGCAGGAAGCTGGAATGAGCGTCTTTTATTCCGTGCTGCCATCTCCGCTTGTTTCAACACTCAAAGAGGTGAGTATACTAGTAGTATATTGTCTTTTTCCACTTGACTTTGACAGTTCGCAACAACACACGCTTGTTTCTGCAAAAACATTTATTATGTTTTCTACAAAAATGTCTGACGTGTTTACGTTTTACGTGGCGTGAGAACGTGAAAAAGCTACGCTAAATCCGATCTGAGCGGTCAGACTGAAACGGATTTCCAGGAATGCGATTTGAATAGGATTCCAAACCTCATACGAATGTAGCTCGAAACGGATTTGCGCAAATCGGATTTCATGTAGTTCGTTGCCATTCAGACTATCTAAATATGATCGGATTTCAAACGGATTTGCACAAAATTCAGATTTGGGCTGAGAGTCTGAACGAGGCTTTAGTGATTCTGTTGTGTTTTGACATTTTTATTCAATTTGTCTCTATAGTTCTTATTCATTTTTAGTTATTTTAGTAATCAGAAAATTTGAAATTCTGCTTTTCTAGAAATTCCAGAAAACTAGCTGAAATAAAACAAGTTTAAGTTTTTTATTTTAAAAATAATTTCAGTTCATGTTTATCTTAAGCAATATAATTTTTTATAGTTTTATTTCTAGATTTAATTTTAGTTTTAGTTTACGACAATAACCCTGAGCAGAGGGATGTTAAAGAAAGTGTCAAAGAGCAGAACAACACCTACAGCCAGAAGTATTTCACCCAAAAATGAATCATCATTTACTCACTCTCATGTCATTCCAAAAACTGTTTGACTTGCTTTTTCTACGGAACACAAAAGCTATCCTGTAGAAAAAAATCTCTAAATGTCGTAATGTTTTTGTCCATACAACAAAACAGGTTCCAATGTCGTTTGGACTTCAAAATCTTATTTTGTGTTGCAAAGAAGAAAGTCATGCAGATCTGGATTGACTTGAGGATGAATAAATGATCGTAAAATGTTTATTTTTTTACTATCTCTTCAGCGATATATAAAATAATACTGCAATAAGCTTATGCACAGACTGAATCAAGATGTTCACACACAGTTCATACCTCGTTCCTGCTCGGTCGTTTCATTCAGGTCAGGAAGCTTTGAGCTGGAGATGCTCTGGTTACGCATCAGTTTGTGCTCCTAGAGAATGAATGAAAACCATAGTGATTTTACTAAATCGGGGACATAACATACCCTTTACTCTGCCAACTGGGCTCAAACCTCAGAGAAAGCCATAAAAGGAACATTAAAAACGATGGTTACCAGGTTGGCCAAAGACAACAAAGGATTACCTCGCGCAATTTGGACAGTTTTTGAACGCTCCCAGGTGGCACAGGGAAGTCCTTGTACCCGGAGGACTTAAACAGAGACTCCCTTGATTTGTCAGAGAGATTGTCCTCCCCTTTGGGAGCTGCATTCCTCATGTTCATGGAGCCCACCGTGTCCCAGGAGACGGCTCTCATCAGAGGAGGGAAGGCCCCTATTGTTTTGATTTCGGCCGTGCATGGGGCTTGCTGTGTAGGTGGCCGGGGGATGGGTTTGGCTACCCCTGTAGCTGGAGGTTGACTGTTGCCACAGCCAGAAGTCTCTTCCTTTTTCTGGGCCGCATGTTCAGAGTTCTTCCCCTTGTCCGCTGGTGCATGATGGTCTGGCTTCTCCTTCTGAAACACAGCGGGATCTCTGGCTGGTACAGCGGTGGCATAACGCGGGGTTAAAGTCCCTGAGGATACCTTTCGCTTGTCACTGGGCATCCAATCTACTAGCCTCGTGAAGGTCTGAGGAAGAACAAGAACAAGAGAGTGAGTTTAATGATTAAGAGTGTAGCGTCTGCGTAGAATCATGCATGATCTTTGGGGTTTTATGGCTTAAGAGACCCTTTTAGCTTTTGACATTTGCATATAAATTACAGTCCTGGTCACAGACTTTACACTTATATGGGTGCTAAATGGCCAATGGTTCCCCCCCCCCACTATCAAGGAGATGCTAAACAGTTTCACCACTCTCGTCTCCCCATTGAATTTCAAACACATTCCAAAGAGACGTAAATGACCCCCGGGGCCAGGCACAATGGGCCTGGCTGACCAAGCAAACTAACACA